GTATCCAGCAGGAAATCTTGGGCGACATTCCCTACAAAAGTCCCCTCCTGTGACTCCTCTGGGACCGGGTAGCGGATCTGCCCACAAACGTAACCCAGGTAGCAAAAGAGGAACAAAAGGGTAGCCCCCGGGCAGATTTCTACCCAGTCTCTCACCTTGCGGAGCATTGCTGTCGCCCGCTAGTTCTCTACCTGGTCTTGAGAAGCAGAAGAAGCTGACCCGCCCCAAACGGCCACAGCAGCTGGAGACACCTATCTCTCTTTGCCCGCGCCAGTTCTGGCGCGGCTGGGCCGGCGCCGCAAGGGTTACGCGCTGTTTTTTTGCTGGTGGCGGGGTAGATTTGTCTGCCTTCCACCACCCGATTGGCAGACAGCAGCTCCTGGGCTCAGCCAATAGGCTGAGCAGAGAATATCCCAATAGCAGCAGGGTTAATGCGTCGCAGCATTGGAGAGAAAAAAAAAAACCCCAAAACAAAAAAAAACACCTTTCTTTTCGCCTTCCTCACGCTCAACAGCATTTCTTTCCACGGGTTATTATTACCTCTATGGAGTGGAAGACAACATATATGTGTTGTGGGTTTTTTTTCTCTCTCTCGAACACACCAACTCCCCCGCCCCTTTTCCGCGGGGAAAACAGCTACAGCCAGAGCCTTAGCAACCTGCAGCCCAGGGAGGAGTAGCCATTTGAGACTGGTCACTTTGTTCAACCCAGTGTTGTCATCCACCAATACTCTAAATGAGTAGCTTGTGCCTCAGTCCAATTGTATTCAAGCAACAGCTAAATAGAAGCACTGCCATAAACACAAAACTCTGCCTCTCTCAGACTATTCAGAAACGTATCCACCTCTTTGCAGAAAAGGCTTACACATAAATGTAACCAATTAAATGTATGCAGTACACATTTTTGTTGTAACAGGAGGCGCAGCGGAAACCAAGCCTCTTTTAATTCAGAGGCGTGTTAGTGACATACTAAATTACCATTCATTGATTTCAAGGGCAGTGTGGAAGGAGAAGCAGCAGAGTGGAGGGAGCCAGGAGGGAGATGTTCCAAATCAGTAAAGAATCAGTTGTGTCTGGGAGGTGCTAAGGACTAGATCTCATTACCTGGCAGAATGCTAATGTTCACAGGTTTAATAGCTCCCATGAATGATTGGGATCAAGCAACCAACAGCACTGTGCCTACAAATCCCCTTTATTTGACACCCTGGTATGCTTGATATGTTGCTAATTACCAGCAGAGACTGTTTCAAAAGAGCAAGCTTTTCACTTAGCCCCAGGGGGCTTCTTGGAGCTGCAGACTTCATCTCACCCCACCCCCACCCAGATCCAGGCCCTCCCAGGAGCCTGGCCACCACCTTGCACCAACTCGGAAACACACAGCTCATTTCACACTGTAGTTACCTGCAAACTGTAATCTGAGTGACAAAAACACCTGAACACAAAGAAAAAATCAGCCTGATTTGGACATACATATTTCTGAACTCACTCAAATCCTCACTTAGGTTACCACTGGATGCCAAAACCAGTAGCAAAAGCTGGGTTTCTTATCCTCCCTACACGTTCTTCCCAAACCCTCATAGCTTCAGGAATATCCCTGGGGTATGGTGAGGCCAGCAACCAACATTCTGGCCTCAAAGGAAGGGGTCTGCTTTCTGTGTTCTTTTACAGAGGCACCTAAACCTCCTCCCAGGGGAATGATGGAGCTGTACATTGGTCTGACCGACTAGGTGTTTATGCTGGGACTCACTTTGGGGAAGACACTGCCATCCACCCAGCTGCCTCAATCCAAATGAGGGAGGGGAAGGGAGGATCATCCTTGACTCATTCCTCTCCCTGACTACCTACATCAGGGCAATCAACAAGTCCTGATGATTTCACAATGGTCATCTCCCTCCATCTATGCTGCCATTGTGGTGGTTCAAGCATTTATCAGTTTTCTCCTCAAACAGCGTAATAGCCTTCTAACGGTTCACCTTGTCTCCAGTCTCAGTAGCCCCAATCCATCTCATTCATGACTGCAAGCATAATCTTTCTAAAGCAAACAAGCAAGCAAAAAACCTCAGATGACATCATACAGATGTCAGTTCAGGATTCTGCAATGACATTGTCGATACAGAACACAGTAAAACCCCTTTGGCCTGGACTAAAGGTGATTCAAGATCTGACTTCTGCTTTCTTGCTTCAATTTATCTCCTGCAAAAACTGTTTTACAAACATCCTTTAAAGTTCACCAGTGATGTAATATCAGTATTCCCCAGCATGGAATTTCCTGCAAGATCCCTTCTCCGCCCCCACTTCCCCCTTTACTAGTTAACAAATTACTGCTCAATCTTTACTTCTAAGCTGAAGCACTGCAGCCTCTATGAGGTCTCCCTGATTTCCCCAGGCTGGCTTAGGTGTCCCTTTCTCTTTGCTCCCATTGTTTCTTGTATTATAAATTTTTGGCATGTCTGTGTCCTATGGTACTCTGTGTGCCACAATGGGAGGACCGTGTCTTTCACCTTTTACAGGGTCTGGCATGAAGGGGTGCTCAACGAATGGTGAATTATTGATATTATCATTTAGCAACTACTTATTGAGTATTTGTGCTTTATATGATGACTTTATGTTAAGTACAGACACTTTATATGCATTACTTTTCACTCTCAACAATTTGTAAAGGGGGTCTTATCTTTATTTTACAGACAAGGACACTGGAGTTCGGAGAGGTTAAGAGACTTGTCTAAAGCTAAACAACTAGTATGTGCAGAACTAGAATCTGCCCCACTCTGAACTCTGGGGTCTGTCTGGAAGAAAGGAAACCTCATTCTAGAACATCTTAAATGATTTTTCTACCAGTTTGTCATCTCTATAACCATGAACTGGACCTTTATGGATGCTTTTAATACCCAAGAATTAGGCTTCTTATAGGTCTCAACCTCTTATCTTTGCAAGTTCACACCCAAACAAACAGGCATACAGTCTGTATTACTAGAATTAAAGCATCATAAAGCCTTAATCCTTATATTCACATATACTAAAGCAATGCAACCATTACCACATTCTAACTGCAGAACCCTTTTGCCAGTCCCAAGAGAGACCCCATACCCACTGCCCAGCTCTAGATTTTTAAAGAACAGTCGCCTGATAGCTAGAAGTTTAGGGAGACTGTTTGTCCCTTTAGATGACTGAAATATCACCTTCTGTCTTCCCTACAATGCTCTTCTGGAGATATTCCATGTAATATTTTAAGCATAGGAAATAATATCACAGAATTTAAAAAAAATTTGGCCTGGTTCAGTAAGGCTGGCTCTTGGTTCTGTAAACACCAGAATAACACTTTGTTTCATAAATATGCTACTTGATAGACTGGCAGGTTCTAGGGCAATTATTTTCTAACTTCTTTGCACATTGAAATTACTTAGGGATCTTTAAAAATTACTGGTCCCTGAGTTCCACCCCCAGAGGTTGTGCTTTGATTGGTCTGGGATGTGGCCTGGGCTTCAGAATTTTTAAAAGGTCCCTAGTGTGTGCAACCAAATTTGAGAATGTTGAGCTAGGGAAAGTGTCAGTTGTTTTCTGGCGGCATGACCAGAAGAGTAGCAGCTGCTTCTCTCTGGCTTTCATCCTTCCACAGCCTTTCCATACATGCCTGTACTTCGGTGAACTATTGATATTGTCGTTTAGCAACTATTTATTGTCTTCTTTGACCATCTCCAAATTGGCTCATTTCTAAGGTGTGTTTAAGATTTGGGGTGGGTAAAGAGCTAATAAAAATAATAATAAATAATAATAATAGTAATAGATAAGAATTTTTTAACATTTATGATGCAGCAGGCAGTGTGCATCCATGATCTTGTGCACTGATCTTACAAGACCCTTGCCACTTCCTCTTTCACATGGGAGACAGGCTTAGAAGGACTGACCTGGCCAAGGACTCCTGATTGGTACGTGGTGGAGCCCCATTTGTCTAACTGCCAAGTCCAAGGCTGACAGCAATTATACACTTACTAGCACCGGAAACTCTGGCTATCTCACCATTGAGAGTGTATATAACTTTCATTCCAGGACAGAGGACTTGCGGTCTACACATCGTCCTGAATAAATGAAAGCTTTACTTTTCTCAGAATGTGACTTTACCTACCTTTCACATTGTGTGTCTTTACCTACCTTTCACATTGTGTGTCTATCTAAGAAAAATAATGCTGGAAAGATAAGGAATTACATGGGGGGTATAAAAAACTTTCATTTTGTACTTTATGTTGTTTTGGACAGTCTGGATTTATTTTAAACTGATTACTTTTTTTTTTACTTTTATAATTAATGGTGGTTATCCTTGGATTTGGGGATCACAGTTAGTTACATTTTTTCTTTGTAAATTTCTCTATTTTCCAAATTTTCTATATTGCACATGGATCAGTATTATAAGATAAAAATAGTTTATAAGTAACGCGCACATCATTCCCACCAGTGTGCTTAAAATAAAATTTAAAAGATACCTAGAATTTTATTTCTTTCACAGAAAATCATCAAAGATTGAAGTACAGGATCTGTGCAGGCAAAGGAAATCTACCATCAAACCATTAGTTTTAATGCCTATGTGCAATCACTTGGAAAATGGGTGAATGAGGTAGTTTTTGTATCCCTAGCAGCGGCCACTGGTTAGAGGTAAACAGTGCAAATGACACCCAACTATAACCCAAGTGCTGAGATCTTGGGTTATAGTTTAGCTGCCCCTTAGCAAGACTGGTTAGTTTTGATGGCAAGCCAGTGAGCGCTGAGGGTGTGAATTGGGCCCACAGATGAGTCAATTAACTCCATACTGAGTGACCACAAACCACACTCTGGCTAGGCCATCCCCTGTGCAAAGAGACAACATCTAGGAAGAGCCAGGTAGAAATATGGATGCATCACTAGGAAAACGTCTTCATCACTAAAACAAAACAACAACAACAACAAAACGGCTCTACATGTTCCTCAAAAAGCCTTCATCTCAGTCCAGAATGACTTGCTAACCCTTACCTGTCCAGGAGGGGAGCTCTCCGCACCCAACACCTGCCTATAGAACACGGGATCGCAGCTCCGCAGCGTGTTCTGGTGGCTGGCCAGGGGGCTGGCGGCCCCAGGTTTCTTCGGCAGCAGGTCGCTGCGGCGCGAGTCAGTGGTGAGGTACACCTGATGGTACAGGTGCGGCGGCACCAGGCCTCCGCGGACGGCGTCCGCGTGCAGAGAGGGCCCTGGCGTTCGGTACAGGGAGCTCACAGGCGCTCGGTATAAGTCCCTGGACTGTTTCCACTTGTAAACTTTGAATATGATCACTCCCAATACTGTGACCGCGAACCCCACGGAGACCAGGATTAGAGAGAGGAGTAGATAAAAGGTGAGGTTTTTATTCGGCTCCCCAGGGGCAGAGCCCGAGGGGAACTCAGCCCGGGCCTCTGGAGATTCCTCGGTTACTGACACAGTCAGGGTGGCGGTGGTGGACAGTGACGGCTCCCCATTGTCTTGGATCAAGACCGTGAGCGTTTGCCTGGGCGAATCTGTGTCCTGGACAGGGCGGGCAGTACTGACCTGACCCGTGTGAAGCCCCACGGCAAAAAGGCTCTGGTTGGGGGCTCCCAAGAGGCTGTAGGAGAGCCAGGCGTTGTGTCCTGCGTCCGGGTCCCAGCCGACCACCCGCGTGACCACGTGGCCGGCCGCGGTACCTCGGGGCAGCAGCTCCACTGAGCTCCGGCCGGGCCGGGGGTAGAGCACCTGGGGGGCGTTGTCGTTTCGGTCGGTGACAAATACGTTCACGCTGATGTTGGTGGTCAGGACGGGGGTGCCCCCGTCGCTGATATGAGCCGTTAATTCGAACTCCCGCCGATCCTCATAGTCCAGGGGCACTAAGGATGACACGACGCCACTGTCGCGATTTATCGTGAAATAGCGACCCACCAGCCCGGCTTCAGCTCCTTGCTCCAGGAGAAAGAAGGAAAGGCGAGCGTTCTGCGGGGCGTCGGGGTCCCAGACACTTAGATTTAGTATTGGAACCCCGGGGAGGTTATTTTCCTCCACGTAAACGTCATAGGAAGATTGGGAAGACTGTGGAGGGTTGTCGTTGATGTCGGACACTTGTACCCTCACCGTCGTAAGGGCTGACAGGGAAGGGGCTCCGGCATCTCGAGCAGTGATGCTGAGGTTGTATTCTGGCACAGTCTCCCGATCCAGGGCTGCGCTGGTTTTCAAAGTAAAGTAATTCTTGAGGGAAGAAGTAAGGCTGAAGGGGAGCCCCGGTGGAATCTCGCAAGTCACCAGCCCGTTCTCCCCAGCATCCAGGTCAGTCACACTGAGCAAAGCGATGACAGTTCCCAGAGGGGCATCCTCGGGGACCGGGCTGTACACGGAAGTGACCGTGATCTCCGGAGCATTGTCATTCACGTCCACAACCTCTACCAAAACTTTGCAGTGCGCTCCTTCGGGATTGGCGCCCTTGTCTTTGGCCTGTATGTAAATCTCGTGGAGTTTTGTGTCTTCGAAGTCCAATCGACCCTTGATTGTCAGCACCCCGGTTACGAGGTCTAGGGAGAACAGTTCCCGCACGCCGGCGCGATTGTGGCTGCCGAAGGAATAAATGATTTCACCGTTGGGGCCTTCATCCAGATCGGTTGCACGGACTTGCACCACGCGAGTGCCGGGGGCTGCATCCTCCAGAACGCGCGCCCGATACAAAGACTGGTTGAAGGCGGGTGCGTTGTCATTCGCGTCCAGCACGGTGATGCGAATCGGAAGGCTGGCGGAGCGAGCCGGGGTTCCTCCGTCCAATGCCGTCAGCACCAACTGGAGACTCGGCTCTCGCTCCCGGTCCAGGGCGCGCTCCAGCACCAGCTCCGCGTACTTGGTGCTGTCCTCCCGCGTCTGCACCCGAAGCGCAAAGTACTCATTTCGGCTCAGCTCGTAGGTTTGTAAAGAGTTACTTCCCACATCGGGATCTTGCGCGCTCTCCAGCGGAAAGCGCGCGCCCGGCGCCACGGCCTCACTAATCTCCAATTTCATTTCCCGGGTTGGGAAAGCGGGATTGTTGTCGTTGATATCCTGAATCACCACTTCCGCACTGAACAGCTCAAGTGGTCTCTCCACCACCAACTCCAGAGTTATGGTGCAGGAGGGCAGTGTCCCACAAAGCTCCTCTCGATCCAGGCGGTCGTTCACGAACATCTCTCCGGTCTCTCGGTTCACCTCAAAGAATCTTCGGCTAGCTCCGGACACCACCCGGAGCCTGCGGGCTGACAGGCTGCCGAGATCCAAGCCAAGGTCCGTGACCACGTTGCCCACCGCGAAACCCTTCTCTCTTTCCTCCAGGATCTCATAGCGAATGACGGCGGAAGCCTTATGCAAGGCGCCAAGCAGAAGCAAAACTCCCACCACTCTCCCGGTGCTTACCAGTCCGCTCCTCCAGGCCTCTGGGACCATCTCACTCAAAGGCAGTTCCTCTTCGCGGGGTCCAGGTCGTCCCGGCGTTTTCGCTGAGAAACTTTCAGCGGGTTAGCGCTTGGGCGCTGGGCGCCGAGTCGGACATGGCTTTCTGGATGCCGTTGATTTGCTCGCCGGCTGTTCAGTCTCTGCCTCATCCCGGGGCGCCGAGAGGGGACGGGCCGGGGCCAGATCTCCAGCGTCTTCATTGGCCGACAGCGGCACGCAGAGTCCCAGCCAATAACTGCACGGAGAGCGCGCTAGCGCCCGGCTCTCCGAGCGGGACGAGAGCTTAGCGCCAGGAACTTCACTTTCCTTTGGCTTCCTTCCAGAGTTCACGGCCAAAGCGCCTTGGCAGTGTCGGTACATCGGAAACCTACCTTAGCCCGGAAAGCCAATTGCAGGGGGATGAAGCTGACCGTTCTACAAGTCTTCTAGCCAAACCAAGGCCTATTAAATGTTTTTTTTACATTTTATTTTACTGTCTTATTACAGTTTTCCCTGTTTCCCCCCGCTGCTCCACTACCCCGTCCCCGTTCCCACCCGTCGCCCCCTCTCCCACAGCCAATCCCTATCCTGTCGTCCAAGTAAATGTTTTAATGGCTCTCTTTAATCGCAAGACGGGGGATCAAAACAAACCGAAGAGGATACAACGCTGTCCCGAAAAAACACCAACAATTTTGGTTCGTTGGAGAACTGGGTAAAACCTATTTAGCTGGACCCTTCTTGTAAGGAATAATTTAACATTTCTGTGGAGATGTTAACATTGCTGCTTTATCTCTTACCACATGACACTGTAGAATGCCCTGTCGCTTCCTCAGTGAAGCAAATCAACAGGACCTGCTCTGTTTGGTTTAACTCTGTTTTAAGAAATTTAAAAATTCAATGCAGATTTCCTTTTAAAACTGGATATTGTTTAGCTTTCATTTCCTAAGAACCAGGGAACAATGTGAAATTTCCTACTGTCTTTCCCAACGACCATCATTTCTATCATAGACCTTAACCTCAAACGTTTCCCTTTACTTGATCAATGCATTTCCCAAGATCTGGGGTTCATGTTTGAGGAAGAGAAGTTGCATTGCTAATAAAGGACAGTACCCCTCTCCCCAAAAGTGGGGGTGGGGGCAGGGAGCCAGACTTATTTACCACTTGAGATGTTTATAAAATGATTGAAATATGGCTGCAAAGTGCCACAAAGCCTTTAGAGAAATACAAAGCCTTTACCCACAGAATACAGCTTTGAGTTTTCTGTATTTGAGACTGTAGTTGCAAAACAAACAAAATAGCAATGATTAGGATAATGAATAAGGGAGTCATGTATGAAATATCAGAGCTGAGTTGTACATCCTTGGCAAGAAACTATTCTCTGAGGGTTCCTGGGTTCCTATCTAATAAATGAATAAGGCAGGGTAAAATGCCTGGCACGGAGTAAGCCTCCATTAATGATGCAAACCATTCCATTAGAGGTGAAGTTTTAGAGCCCCACACACTACTTCTGTATAACTGTCCTGGGCATTACTTTGATTGTGTATAGTTCTTTCTGAAGTGTAACTAAGCCTTGAGGCAGGGATGTGGGCAGACAGGTTAGATAGGTAGATAAAAAATAAGTATATATAGGATATTTATTGAAAAGATGAAAAGCCTTATTTGACCTGTTTCTCCATGTCCTCAGCACTTTTTAAAAAAGATTTTATTTATTTATAGAGAGAGGGGAAGGGAGGGAGAAAGAGAGGAAGAAAAACATCAATGTGTGGTTGTCTCTCATGCACTCCCTACTGGGGACCTGGCCCACAATCCAAGCATGTGGCCTGACTGGGAATCAAACCAGCAACCCCTCTGTTAGCAGGTCAGCACTCCATCCACTGAGTCGCACCAGCCAGGGCCATGTCCTCAATACTTTAATTCATTTCTTGAGACCTCCAGTTTTAAATACTCAACTTTGACAACTGGCTAGACCACAAGAAGATTGAGAGGCACTAAAAGATAGAATATATTCTATTAAATATATTTAGAATTTGGGATATAGCCCAGTCATTTGCTACTCAAAGTGTGAGCCAAGGACTGATGGCATAGGTATCACCTGGGAGTTTGTTAGAAATGCAGAAGTGCCCCACTTCAGACCTACAGAACCAGAATCTGCATTTGACAAAAATGCCTGGGTGATGTGAATGTATATTGAAGCTTGAGAAGTACTGATCTAGTGAGTTAATCAGGGGTAAACTGATTTATCAGTCATTTTAAAAAGATTTTATATATTTATTTTTAGAGAGAGGGGAAGGGAGGGAGAGAAACATCAGTTGGGTGCCCCTCATATGCACCCACCCAACCTTGGACAGGGACAGAACTTGCAAACCAGGCATGTGTTCTGACTGGGAATCAAACTGGTGATCTTTTGCTTTGCAGATCAGTGTCCAACCAACTGAGCCACACCAGTCAGTGCTGATTTGTCAATCATGTTCTCCATTCACTATCACTTAATTGACAAATGTCTTTTCAAAACTAGCTTTTAAAGGTTGAAACAGTTTTGCCATTCATAAGACCCATAGTTTTCCTAAAAACCTCATCATAAGCCAGCAGAACCCTCTTGGATCTATTCTTCCCGGTAGCCAGAAGGATCTTCACATTTTAATTGGATCATGAATTTCCAGCTCAAAAATTGTCAGTAGCATGTCACCACTGTGCATAGTGTCCAAGTTCTCTTATCTTCTCAGGCTTCCAGTGTGGTGAGCAGTCCAGCTCTCTGGTGCCCCGGGGCCTTCACACCCTCTGTTCCTCTCCTAGGAAAGATTCTTGCCCTTTCCTCCCTTTGCTTTGCTAATTTCTAGGAATCTGTCAGGTCTCAGTTTAAATGTTATTTCCTAACAGAGGTTTCCCTTTAGGCTCCATTTAAAATCAGGAATCTTTGTCATGCTCTCACAGAATACCTTACCTTTTCCTTTGTTGAACCTAGCCCAATTAAAAAATTTTGTAATTATTTTTTGTTTTAGCATAATATCTGCCTCATTCACTAAAAATAAAAAAAGCTACAGGAGGGCAGACACTGTGCGTATTTTAATGATCACTTGTATCCCTGGCATCTAGTACAGTAAGCACTTATGCTTCCCCCTTCCCAGCTTTATTGAGTTATAACTGACAAGTAAAATTATATAAATTTAAAGTATACAACATGGTGATTTAACATACATATATAATGAAAGGATTACAACATAGCTAACACACTCATCACCTTACCTAGTTACTGTTTTGTGTGCATGTGTGAAGAACTTTTTATAAGATCTATTCTCTTAGCAAATTTCGAGTATATACTACAGTACTGTTAACTATAGTTACCATGCTGTACATTAGATTTCCAGAATTTTTCACCTTATAACTGAAAGCTTGCACTCTTTCACCAACATTTTCCTATACTTAATGCTTATTAATATACAAATCGCCATGCAAATGCATAGTAATCATAAAAGGTACTAAGGATATATATATATATATATATGTTCATTTACGTGTATCCATAAGCATTTTTGGAAGATATAGTCACTCTTTCAAGCTACCAGGGGGCCTAATGAAACTATTTCTTAACATAATAATTTGAAAGAGAAAATACAGTTTGCCAAAGAACCAAGTAGGTGTGCTAATACAACTCACTGGAGAAAAACAAAGATGGTGTCACTTGCTGTGCCACTTATATGCAGGAGAAAGAGAAGCACTGTGTACAGGACTAACACAATTTTCCAATCCCCATCTTCTTCTCCCTCTGTTTTATGACTTTAAGAGAACTTATGATTAATCAGATGTACAAACATAATTTTTAAATAGAAAGTAAATGTATTATAGTGGTCAAGAGTAAGGCCTTAGCATCCAAAAGACTCAAGTTCCAATACTGGATATTAATTACACTTAGTAGCTATGTAACCATGAAACTTTTATTTTTAGCTTCTTTAATTTTCTTGATCTATTACATGGGAATTGTAATAGTACTCCATGACATAACCACAAGCATCTTAATCTCTTATTTTAATCTTTTAATAACTTTATACTTATCAGAGAGTTTACCTAGATAATCAATGATTTTTAATAAACGTATACAGTTACGCAACCAACACCACAATCCAGTTTTAGAATACTCCCATCATCTTCCTCCAATTCCCTCATGCCTGTCTGCAGCCAATGTTTGCTTTTACCCCCAGCTTCAGGCAACCACTTACCTACTTTCTATATAGTTTTGTCTTTCCTAGAAATTTCATATAAGTTAATTATAAAATACATAGTCTTTTGTAGCTGGCTTTTTTCACTTAGCATAAAGTTCAACACAACTGTTAACTACACCCTCAAACCTGTTCTTTCTCCAACACTTTTTGTCTAATAGGGGCCACTTCCAGTAAAAATTTCCTAAATCATTCTTAATATCTTTTTTCTGAATCCCCACATTCCACTCATTACAGGTTCATGCCAATGCTTATTGCCTCCAAAATGTATTTGAATCTATCAATTACTCTCCCTTTCTGCAGCCACTACCTGAATCAAAACCACCTTAAATACTGTCATAGCTTCCTCTCTCATCTTATTTCTTCTTTTGTTTTCCCTAAACTCTATTTCACATGCAGAAACCTGAGAGAGCTTTCAAAAGTATAAATTAAATGATATACACTCTTTCATAAACATAGTGCTTGCCACCAGGATTGGCTACATAATTTGTGGGATTAATGCAAAACAAAAATAGGAGACTAAAAATTACTAAGAATTTCAATATGGCAACAGCAGAACATTAACCCAAATGCAGGGCCCTTCTGAAAAAGGGGGCCATTGTGAATTCATGACACTGGCCTTGCTTCGCATAGAGGAAGCTCTCCATAAATATTCCTATTATTATTATTATTTTTAATTTATTGGAATGGATAATAATCTTTTTATCAGATCTGTCTTTTGCAAATATTTATTTATTTATTTATTTATTTATTTTTAGAGAGGGGAAGGGAGGGAGAAAGAGAAGGAGAGAAACATCAATGTGTGGTTGCCTCTCAAGTGCCCCTTACTGAGGACCTGGCCCACAACCCAGGCACGTGCCCTGACTGGGAATCGAACCAGTGACCCTTTGGTTTGTAGGCTGGCACTAAATCCACTGAGCCACACCACCCAGGGCTAATATTATTTTGAATATTAGGTGATTACCCAATATTTATTCCCAGGGGGCCAGTAATGTAAAAAAAGTCTACTCATGATACTATTAAATTACTACACTCAAGGGAAAATATATGTATTATCCCCTTAAAATCCTAAGTATCAGCTAATAATCCCTCAATTCAACATAATTTGCCTATTTGAGAAACATCCTAAGGTCAAATTAAGGGATCATTTGATGAGAAATGTCATAAAAAGAGATAACCAACAGATCAATCAAGTATATATCACAATTTAAACAGGTG